CCCTTTCTCTTTAGAAATCTCTGACTGAAGAAGAAAAAGAAGAAGAGGAGCCTCATAGTTTTGTACTGTTTCCTCTTCTTCTCTTTGTACAAAATCTTGCTATTTGAAGAATCGAAATCGTTAAGTTTTTTTCTGGATTATAAAGGAAGAATTGAAACCCTCGAGGAGAAGAAAAGATGGCCACAGTAAACAATAGTCACCACCCCAACACCCATGCCGCCGCGGCAGATCCGCCGGTGACAGCGGTGAAGCAGTCTGTATCCGCTGTGAAAACCGCCGATACCCAGTCTGTTCTGAAAAGGTATATGTAAATTGTAAATTTACTTGAAATTTCACGATCTTGCTTTTTGTATCGAGTTGATTTCTATATGAGCTTCATATATATTTTTTTAATTTCTTGATGAATGCTATTAGGGTTTTAATACTTTTAGGCCACTTTTGAGAATTTAAACCTAAAAGACATAATTCTTGTTTTCAATGGTTGAAAGCATATTTCTTTCTTGATTTCTTGGTTTTGGTTTTTGAATCGCTGCATAATCTTTTAATGGAACTCTAGATTTGATGATCATTTGCCCCATAAACTTTGGCTGGAATTGATGTATGGTGGATTCAGTTTAACGGGATTAGAATGATTAAATAAGAGATGCGTGTGAGGACAATAGATCTTACCAGACATCTTAAATTGTTTGAAGTTCGCCTTCAGATTGTTATTTATCGTGTATTTCAAAAATTGAAGTGAAAGAATTGATAGATAATTTCAACTTCTCACCAGTTAAACAACTGGATACGACTAGAAATGCTTAAATTAGAGATGTATGTAAGGACAGTCCAACGTACCAAATATGCCTTAAATTATTTGGCGTTCGACTACCGACTGTTTTTCTCAGGTTTTTCAAGGTTTTTCTTTGTATTCCTGCTGTCCTAATCTCCATTCTAAAATTTTTTTCTTGATTCAACTACAGATTGCAGTCAGAGTTAATGGCCCTAATGGTGAGAACTTTTCAATACCTAAATTTTTCCATTTTCTTTTTTTGCCCCTTCTAATTGTTTTTCCCAACCCTCGAAATACTACAGATGAGTGGCGATTCAGGAATATCCGCATTCCCGGAGGAAGACAACATATTCTGCTGGAAAGGCACGATAACTGGCAGCAGAGATACTGTTTTTGAAGGAACAGAGTACAAATTATCCCTTTCATTTCCCTCCGATTATCCTTTCAAGGCCCCGAAGGTTAAATTTGAGACCAGTTGCTTTCACCCCAATGTCGATTTATACGGGAACATATGCTTGGACATATTACAGGTTGATATCTAACAATCTTATCGATTTTCTAGTTGCAAAGGTTAATGCATATCTGATTGTTTTCTTTGAATTTTCATAGGATAAGTGGTCATCTGCATATGATGTAAGGACAATCTTGCTGTCAATTCAAAGTCTGCTTGGAGGTAAATCTTGATGTTGATTATTCAATCAAATCATGTTTAGTACTGTATGACCCCTTTCTCATGGTCGTGCTGTTTTTGTAGAGCCAAATACGAGCTCGCCATTAAATACTCAGGCTGCAGCACTTTGGGGAAATCAAGAAGGTATTGCGATAAATCTATTCCTTCGTTCATGATTTTTGGAATTGCTGTTAAGAACGTAAATATAAATCTAGTTCGTATTTTTCCCCTTTTGCAGAGTACAGGAAGATGGTCGAGAAACTATACAAGCCAAGTGCATAGATTTCTTGTTGCTATTCAACCGAGGGAAAGGAACGTCGAATTAGATTGATTTACCCCGTAGTTAGTGTTTTTTTTTTTGGTACAACAAGAAGAAAATGTTTTACTTCTAGAAATCTTTAATGCAGGCCTAAGCTGTCGTCCATAGGCCAAAGAAATTAAACAAGATTTGCTTAAAATATCAGATCAGTTTGTTGCTTACTTTCATTATAATAGGAAATGATACACAGAGGAAATCCACATACCTGAGTTATAATAAAATAAACCAATTTACAGAAACTTGGCAACATGAAAGATCTCAAAAATAAACAGAAAGGAACACGAACATGGAAAAGCATAAACGAAAATCTTGAAATGTCCCTCCTCCTCCCCTTATTTTCCCAACAGTTAAACTTGCAAATAGTAAAAACTAAATTAATGAAAACAATAAACAAGGAAGAAAATACAAACCTTTTAGCAGAGCATGCAAATTTTGCAGCTAAATCTAATAATTAATATTGCACAGCAAACTTGATTTGAGCATTCTTCGTCTTGCTTAATATTTTTGTCAGTACAAAAATGTAAATCATGTCAAGTTAAATAAGTAACTCAAAAGTAATTTGGGCTTACTTTTAAGCACAGCTAAACATTCTCAAGTCATTTTAACTTCACGTCCATAATACAGTCTCCAGTGCATTTGCAAGACGGCAAAAAGTAATTAGCACCCCTGATTACAATGTGCCTCTATAACTGAAAAATCACAGTAGGAAGCAAAAATAAAATGTCAGTCAGTTACACAACATAATATTTTCATTGAGATGCCATTCAGACAAATACACTCATATTTACTGAGCATATATACAGTACCTAATAAAGGAAAAATTAATTTAAAGCACACTTTGTTGTCAGAGTACTAGAACTTCGGCATTCTGAGAGTAGGACTTTTGATATCGTATGCCATCAATTAAAGCTTCCCATTGTGGCAAGTGAAATTTCAACCACTAGAAAGAGTTGTAAAAAAATTTCAACCACTAGAAAGAAATCAAAAAAATTTACTCCAATCATAAGAGAATTTGGTATGCCATAAAAAATTATTAATACTGCTGCCTTACGATTTTGTATCCACTCTCCGTATTTTGACAATGATTTTAAACATATGAATTTCTATAACTAAGATCAAGAAGAATTTGGTTTACTAAAGATAGATCAAGTTACAACATTAGAGTAATTGATACAGCAGAATATGGATGAGAAGAAAGGGAACAAAAGAGGAGCAGGGAGAAGGAGGGAAGAAGCAGATTTCAATGTAGTCAATATTTCAATAAGCAATAGTAAGTCTAATACAAAAACCCCCCGTTTATGCTTAAAATCCCAAGAGAAGAAGGGAAAATTTCCTAATTTAACCTAATGATTATGGAAGGGAAATGAATCAAATACTAGAAAATCAAAAAATTTAAACTCAAAAGACACTTCATCAATGACAGTCTGATTGTTTTCTTTTAATTTTCATAGGATAAGTGGTCATCTGCATATGATGTAAGGACAATCTTGCTGTCAATTCAAAGTCTGCTTGGAGGTAAATCTTGATGTTGATTATTCAATCAAATCATGTTTAGTACTGTATGACCCCTTTCTCATGGTCGTGCTGTTTTTGTAGAGCCAAATACGAGCTCGCCATTAAATACTCAGGCTGCAGCACTTTGGGGAAATCAAGAAGGTATCGCGATACGTATCATCTATTCCTTCGTTTATGATTTTTGGAATTGCTGTTAAGAACGTAAATATAAATCTAGTTCGTAATTTTCCCCTTTTGCAGAGTACAGGAAGATGGTCGAGAAACTATACAAGACAAGTGCATAGATTTCTTGTTGCTATTCAACCGAGGGAAAGGAACGCCGAATTAGATTGATTTACCCCATAGTTAGTGTTTTTTTTTTTGGTACAACAAGAAGAAAATGTTTTACTTCTAGAAATCTTTAATGCGCAGGCCTAAGCTGTCGTCCATAGGCCAAAGAAATTAAACAAGATTTGCTTAAAATATCAGATCAGTTTGTTGCTTACTTTCATTATAATAGGAAATGATACACAGAGGAAATCCACATACCTGAGTTATCATAAAATAAACCAATTTACAGAAACTTGGCAACATGAAAGATCTCAAAAATAAAACACAAACATGGAAAAGCATAAACGAAAATCTTGAAATGTCCCTGCTCCTCCCCTTATTTTCCCAACAGTTAAACTTGCAAATAGTAAAAACTAAATTAATGAGAGCACTGCTCTTATTTTTATTTTTACATTAACACTGGAAATGTTTTTAGACGGTATCGTTCTTTTCCTGTTATCAGCATAAGGTTAATGAAAACAATAAACAAGGAAGAAAATACAAACCTTTTAGCAGAGCATGTAAATTTTGCAGCTAGCACAGCATTCTCAAGTGAGTTCATTTTAACTTCACGTCCATAATACAGTCTCCAGTGCATTTGCAAGACGGCAAAAAGTAATTAGCACCCCTGATTACAATGTGCCTCAGGGTATAACTGAAAAATCACAGTAGGAAGCAAAAATAAAATGTCAGTCAGTTACACAACATAATATTTTCATTGAGATGCCATTCAGACAAATACACTCATATTTACTGAGCATATATACAGTACCTAATAAAGGAAAAATTAATTTAAAGCACACTTTGTTGTCAGAGTACTAGAACTTCGGCATTCTGAGAATAGGACTTTTGATATCGTATGCCATCAATTAAAGCTTCCCATTGTTGCAAGTGAAATTTCAACCACTAGAAAGAGTTGTAAAAAATTTTCAACCACTAGAAAGAAATCAAAAAAATTTACTCCAATCATAAGAGAATTTGGTATGCCATAAAAAAATTATTAATACTGCTGCCTTACGATTTTGTATCCACTCTCCGTATTTTGACAATGATTTTAAACATATGAATTTCTATAACTAAGATCAAGAAGAATTTGGTTTACTAAAGATAGATCAAGTTACAACATTAGAGTAATTGATACAGCAGAATATGGATGAGAAGAAAGGGAACAAAAGAGGAGCAGGGAGAAGGAGGGAAGAAGCAGATTTCAATGTAGTCAATATTTCAATAAGCAATAGTAAGTCTAATACAAAAACCCCCCGTTTATGCTTAAAATCCCAAGAGAAGAAGGGAAAATTTCCTAATTTAACCTAATGATTATGGAAGGGAAATGAATCAAATACTAGAAAATCAAAAAATTTAAACTCAAAAGACACTTCATCAATCAACTTGGTACCAGAAAAATAGTAAAAGAGAATTGTCACCTGAAATGATGAAAGCACAACAAATTTAATCCTGGATCCTTCATGTATGTATTGGATAAAGATTCAACATACTATGTGCCAAGTACAAGATGCAGAATGTACCGGCAGCTAGTTTCCACGAGACAAATAATGCCAGATGTCTTGTCTTGAAGCTTAAGCTGTTAATGAGGGGCCACATGTATTTTTGTCTCTTCTTCGGTACAGATCTCACGTGCAGACTGCATTCATTTTCAAGCACAATTTTTCATTAAAAGCTGGTGGCAAGAGTTGAACCATGGTCTTTAGCCATGCTCTGATACTATTTTGAACCATCTAATCTAAAAACTTAAACTGTTAAAGAAAGACTAAATGTATTCATTTAAATCATTTTCTCTTCAGCACCAGATATGGCAATAATGACTCATCAAAATAAGCACGAGTATATTTGAAGAAGAATAGGAGCAACAAATTAATTCTTTGCTCACTCTAAATTGAAGTGAATCATTTGAATGAAGCTTTTAAATTTTAGCTAGACTCACGAAAAGGTTCAAGTACCTATTGTATAGCACAATATCTTGTATAAAGAAAGATATAAACTACAAAATCTAATCTATTTTCTCTCCCATCATAAATGGCATCACCTGAATACCAAAAATTGTTTATGGGGACAACTAGGATAAGTCGGAAAGAGTTCTACTGACTACAGATTACAGAAGGGTACTGTTGTTTATCAAACCATTCTTCAAATGGTCATGCATCAATGATGCAAACTTGGCTTCTTCCCATGGTCAGCTTCCAGCAAGGTCTTCTGTTGGTACCAATTCATCAGTGGGCCTTCCTTCCTCGCCGAAGTTAACAACTGCTGTTTTCTCCTCTGAAGTAATAGTTGAAAGTCCTACTTTTGCATCACTTGCCTGAATCTGGTTTGAATGTAGAATTGACACTGATGATTGCTTCTCGTGATCATCATCAATCAAAAACAGATCATTAGATTTTTCATTTGATTGAAGTTTCTGATCTGCAAATGTTTCGTCCAAGGGGGATAGACCAGTAGACTCTTTCCCGGTGCAGTCAGGCCCTGCATTAATTTCTGGGAAAAGGGCAGGTTTGCTGCTTTCAGTAGCACAAACATGGGGGCAAACTGGAGAGCTCCTATTGAGACACTTATGGCACTTAAACCCGATGAGCTTTTCAACTTTAACAGCATTGAGATCAAAAGCATCTCCATGAAACCAATCTGTAGATTGTGAAAAACATAATTTAATAGTAAACTAGTTATACTCAATAAATTTGAATGACTCTTCCCTGAGCTGGTTGTGCCAAATGTGAGACATGCATACAGAACTTCTATTAAAAAACGAAACCATCATCTATCAAGAATTTTAAGGGTATTCTCATACAGGCAAGGACTAAAAACTATTTTTCTCAGCCAGCAGTTAATTCAAGATGGAGGAAATATTCATCTTCCGCAGCGTATGTGTTTTCATTTAGTAGTGGTAGAGATGAATCAAGTGTAAAGATAGTTACCTCCACAAATTTCACAAGAGACATAATTAAGATGAGATTTGAATTCTAGTTCACCACAGAGACTGCATTTCGGAGTACATGCGACGGAAGGCGACTCTCCAGAAAGGACAAGAAGCAATTTACTTCTAAAAAGCATCACCCTTTCATCGTTTAGCCTTCTTGACAATCGAAGGCCATTCAACCAGTAACCATAACTGATCTGGGTTCTCTTCTTCTGCCAACAACTATTTTTTGGCTTCTTCAGTTTGTCTTGCTTCTTCAATCTTTCTTTTTTTGATTTAGCTTGTTTCCGTTTCTTCTGTTTTTTCTCAGTACAGATCTCACGTGCAGACTGCATTCATTTTCAAGCACAATTTTTCATCAAAAGCTGGTGGCAAGAGTTGAACCATGGTCTTTTGCCATGCTCTGATACTATTTTGAACCATCTAATCTAAAAACTTAAACTGTTAAAGAAAGACTAAATGTATTCATTTAAATCATTTTCTCTTCAGCACCAGATATGGCAATAATGACTCATCAAAATAAGCATGAGTATATTTGAAGAAGAATAGGAGCAACAAATTAATTCTTTGCTCACTCTAAATTGAAGTGAATCATTTGAATGAAGCTTTTAAATGTACCCAGCAGACCTCCTTGCATGTCTTTTATGGAAAAAGCCTGAAAATCCATACAAGTATAGTTGATATTTGTTAGTGCCTTTTAGAAGTTACTATATCCACTATCTCAAATTAAAAACTAGTTCAATCCACAAAGATACAAATTCATCTGTAACCCTGATTTATATCCTTAGTTTACTATTTCCTGATATCTATTTTCTCTCCCATCATAAATGGCATCACCTGAATACCAAAAATTGTTTATGGGGACAACTAGGATAAGTCGGAAAGAGTTCTACTGACTACAGATTACAGAAGGGTACTGTTGTTTATCAAACCATTCTTCAAATGGTCATGCATCAATGATGCAAACTTGGCTTCTTCCCATGGTCAGCTTCCAGCAAGGTCTTCTGTTGGTACCAATTCATCAGTGGGCCTTCCTTCCTCGCCGAAGTTAACACCTGCTGTTTTCCCCTCTGAAGTAATAGTTGAAAGTCCTATTTTTTGTTCACTTGCCTGAATCTGGTTTGAATGTAGAATTGACACTGATGAATACTTCTCGTGATCATCATCAATCAAAAACAGATCATTAGATTTTTCATTTGATTGAAGTTTCTGATCTGCAAATGTTTCGTCCAAGGGGGATAGACCAGTAGACTCTTTCCCGGTGCAGTCAGGCCCTGCATTAATTTCTGGGAAAAGGGCAGGTTTGCTGCTTTCAGTAGCACAAACATGGGGGCAAACTGGAGAGCTCCTATTGAGACACTTATGGCACTTAAACCCGATGAGCTTTTCAACTTTAACAGCTTTGAGATCAAAAGCATCTCCATGAAACCAATCTGCAGATTGTGAAAAACATAATTTAATAGTAAACTAGTTATACTCAATAAATTTGAATGACTCTTCCCTGAGCTGGTTGTGCCAAATGTGAGTCATGCATACAGAACTTCTATTAAAAAACGAAACCATCATCTATCAAGAATTTTAAGGGTATTCTTTTACAGGCAAGGACTAAAAACTATTTTTCTCAGCCAGCAGTTAATTCAAGATGGAGGAAATATTCATCTTCCGCAGCGTATGTGTTTTCATTTAGTAGTGGTAGAGATGAATCAAGTGTAAAGATAGTTACCTCCACAAATTTCACAAGAGACATAATTAAGATGAGATTTGAATTCTAGTTCACCACAGAGACTGCATTTCGGAGTACATGCGACGGAAGGCGACTCTCCAGAAAGGACAAGAAGCAATTTACTTCTAAAAAGCATCACCCTTTCATCGTTTAGCCTTCTTGACAATCGAAGGCCATTCAACCAGTAACCATAACTGATCTGGGTTCTCTTCTTCTGCCAACAACTATTTTTTGGCTTCTTCAGTTTGTCTTGCTTCTTCAATCTTTCTTTTTTTGATTTAGCTTGTTTCCGTTTCTTCTGTTTTTTAATCTTGGTATTCAGCAAGGATGTCTTTACGACAGGTTTAGCATGCCTGGCAGAACGGCGCAGGGGTACAACCAATTGAACCTTTTTATTCTTTAGTGATTGCACTCGTTGCTTGTCTTTGCCCACCTTTTTCCCTTTTCTTGAGCCCAAGGGCTTCAATAATTTTGATGCTTTCTTACCTTTTGGTGGCTCAGACTTCCCCTTCTTAGTGTCTATTTTCACAGACATCCCATCAAGGCATTTATGGCATGTATATGTACACTGAGCGACGATGTACCCAGCAGACCTCCTTGCATGTCTTTTATGGAAAAAGCCTGAAAATCCATACAAGTATAGTTGATATTTGTTAGTGCCTTTTAGAAGTTACTATATCCACTATTTCAAATTAAAAACTAGTTCAATCCACAAAGATACAAATTCATCTGTAACCCTGATTTATATCCTTAGTTTACTATTTCCTGATATCACTGCAACAATACTAAACTGCTACTGGCACCTTTTTGTAGGCACAAGCTAGCGCCATCAATTTAGACCAACTTTAAAAATCACTAACAAATTTTAAGGAACAATCAAGCACCACCAAACCTTCCAAATCACAGCCAAACCGAGATCATAGCATATGAAATAAAAAACTTATGAAGAAACAGTTCAATATTTAAGGGCAAATATTGTTAATTAATAGCACGTGGAGTTATAGAAAATGCTACAAGTTACATTCAATTGACAGTCCAGGTATATTAATTGACAATATTCTATTACAACTCCTGCTTGCAGGTAGCAAAAATTTCAGTTCCAAAATGAACATAAAGCAATAATTCCATCGAGCCTCGGTAAATTAATAGGACTGTATGGGTCAGAACACTGCCCCAGTCCAAAACAATCACCATTCAGGAGCCTAAAGGAAATGAACAGTTGAGATAATCTATGACAAAAGTGTAAAAATGTCAGTTTATAGTGATTAACAAGTGTGCCAGAGTGAAAAAGAAATCCTAATATTAAATAACTCAATCGTGCAAGCCAAATACTTTAAATTCCTTTTCTTACATGCTGAATTAAACAATGACGAAGACATAGAAAGGCAGATGCAACAATAGATTTGTCCGCGCAATATAGTGAAAATTGAAGAAACACATCAGCCAGTGATAAGAAACTCTTATTCAACAAGCAGTTTACCTTTGCAGTACTGGCAACTCACTGCTTCCCTGCAAATGGACAAAAGAAAACTGATCACTAGACTGCAAATTCAGAGGCCAAAAAAGGATTCACAAGCAAACAAAAACAATTTAAGCCAAGCTGTTCTCTAATGCTGTTCAAATTAATGAAACACGTATATACAAAATTACTTTTGGAACAATACAGATACAATTTGCAACATTAAAGGAACCACTTAAGAATGCACAAATAACCTCACATCAATGTTAACTCATGTATCTATCATAAAGAAAGCCAATGTGGGTACACCAACACACATGTCCAACAGTAAAATTTTTGAACATATTATCTAACCTGACAAAAGAAAATATCAATAAGAATGACTAAAACCATTATGTAGTAAAACTACAACTAGAAAGCAAGTCTGCACATTCAAAAGCGTCTGCATATGTTTCGGGTTTATCTTTTGATTTGCTTTGAGCTACTTTAGTATATTAAAACTGCAACAGTTTAAATGTAACTGTTAATGTTCGGTCAGCTAAAGTTTCTCCCAGACCCCCATAGAATAAATGGTACGACCCATCTTCATCCATAGAACCATTAGAAGGGTACTGTTGTCTAGGAACAGCTTGTTTTCTACTGCCATGCATTTTTCCTTCCTCTGATAGTAAGGTAGTCCTGTTTTGTCTAAAAGAGATACCGATATTAACAATTAAAAATCATATCATACCTGATTAGTACATTTTTGTTACAGTGCCCACACTGATAATTCTCCAATCTCTCTGCTCTCGAGAAAAGATATGAAAATCCCTTTTCCTTGAGGGGCTTATTAGTTACAATACTGCTCTCACGAAGTTTTCCAGAACATGTCTTATTGGATTTGCGAGCAATTCTCTTCTCTTCAAACATTTTCAAGAGATGTAATGGAACATAAGACTCTTCCAGCCAATATTTCTTCCTTTCACTAGAGGAATCTTCAAGCATGGACCCATGTATCACAACAATATCGGGGATAAATCTTCTCTTGCCAAAATCAAGATGTACCCAGCAGACCTCCTTGCATGTCTTTTATGGAAAAAGCCTGAAAATCCATACAAGTATAGTTGATATTTGTTAGTGCCTTTTAGAAGTTACTATATCCACTATTTCAAATTAAAAACTAGTTCAATCCACAAAGATACAAATTCATCTGTAACCCTGATTTATATCCTTAGTTTACTATTTCCTGATATCACTGCAACAATACTAAACTGCTACTGGCACCTTTTTGTAGGCACAAGCTAGCGCCATCAATTTAGACCAACTTTAAAAATCACTAACAAATTTTAAGGAACAATCAAGCACCACCAAACCTTCAAAATCACAACCAAACCGAGAGAGTTTGGTGCCAGTCAGCATTTTACATCCAATTGGCTGTTAGGACAAGGCTAATGGAGAGCAAATAATGGAATGGAGATGGGGGACAAATTGAATCATAAGAGAGACGTGCCTGGAGAGCAAGCTGTTCCACGCTTCTTGATGTCTCAACAGAAGCTCGCCAGGCAACACATTTACTCCTTTTTGCATACTCTCCACTGTCAGGGTAAAGGATGCCTTGTATCTTCTTGTATCCACCTGCAACAGTTTACACTTCAAATTTAGAAAACTAAGTATTCCACTAGATCTATGTTTAAACAGAAGAATAGAAACTCCAGACCTTGTCGGGCAGCTTTGGAAGCTAAGAAGCGAGGCAAAACCTTCCAATTGTACAGCTGACGTGAGATCCTCCCACCTCTCCACCAAAATAAGCTCAACCCATTTGCAGAACTTGAAGATGAAGTTGTATCCAGCTCCAAACACCTTGCTCTGTTCCTTCCAATTCCATGTTTCGTAGACGCACGTACAGAATTCCTCACAACATGAGAAGCAGAACCCATCGTAGGAACAGAATCCACGTACTTTAGCCAATCTGCTGAAAGTGCTCGAGGATGCAAGTTGGACTCTAGCTGGTGTTGAAAGTTGCAACTAATCAGATAACTAGCATGAAGTGCAATATGGAAAACATGAACATAAATACTTCAAAGCTGAAAATAGTGGAAATGCAAAGATAAGATAAAGATTCTTCTTATATATATGTTTAGTTCTGCTCTTGATATGCATATTTTATCTTTTAACTTAGTGTACTTTTGCAGTCTAGAAACCTAAGATGATAAAAGTTTTACACCCTAAGGCCTTCAACAAATTTTTTTGCGCCGAGAAATAGGTTACCGTATTTCATTATATATCTACCTGGAATTGTGGTGTATGCATGTACGTGTTCTTATGAGTACAATTTTACACCCTTGAGCCTCAAAGTGCCAAAGGAAAATTTCAGATTATAAAAATTTACTAGACTTGGGTGGCAGGCATACCCCATTAGTTAGGTTTAACAAACAAGCTTTTTGTTTACTAATTTTTTTTCCTTCTAAATTTATCACCTGTTGACAAAAATGCACTTAGCACAAGTTCTATACTAATGAATCATATAATCAAATTCATTGTTTACATTTAGAACTTCAGACAATATCCAACAGACACAGGTCATTTTCCTCCTGTAAAAGCCAGTTAGAATGTACAGCCTGTTGCTATTGTTCCCCCCTATAAAACGAAGCTCAGACCATACACGGTACATCATGGTTTGCTTTATTGAATATCATCATCCCATTCTTGTTAATAAATACTTCTCCAAGTTGTCAAAGCAACCATGACAAATTTACTGAACATACCCCAAAGTTTTCTTCTCTGCGATAATTGACGTGGCTGGGCATTGTTAAACAAGGTTAACAAGTTCCTTGTTCAGAGAGAGCCAGATGATGAACTATCATGTGAACGTAAGATACTTTCTGACAATCATTTTCAAAAGGACAAGCTATTTCTTTAAGACGACAATATCTTTAGGGTTTAACACTTGGGCAGTAAAAATACTCAAATATACATCCACAATGTATATAAACTCAGATAGCAATCCTATAAGGAAATATTCTTACCTTGAGCAGAAAACTTCTCAATGAAGCAACGTCAGACACTCCAAGAACGCTTTTATGCCAACGTTCTTATCTTTTCCCCTGTTGGATGGGGTAAAATGTAGAGTCAATGGCTGTTCAGAGAATGTTTTCGTTATATAGACCAGGAATCTAAATGAATGTAATTATCATAAATGTGATGTTCTTGGAAAGTTGGACCAAATTTTTCCTATGCCATAAATTGGTTGATAAAATATAATAAAAGAAAAGGCAGTCCTTTTAGAGAGTTTGGTGCCAGTCAGCATTTTACATCCAATTGGCTGTTAGGACAAGGCTAATGGAGAGCAAATAATGGAATGGAGATGGGGGACAAATTGAATCATAAGAGAGACGTGCCTGGAGAGCAAGCTGTTCCACGCTTCTTGATGTCTCAACAGAAGCTCGCCAGGCAACACATTTACTCCTTTTTGCATACTCTCCACTGTCAGGGTAAAGGATGCCTTGTATCTTCTTGTATCCACCTGCAACAGTTTACACTTCAAATTTAGAAAACTAAGTATTCCACTAGATCTATGTTTAAACAGAAGAATAGAAACTCCAGACCTTGTCGGGCAGCTTTGGAAGCTAAGAAGCGAGGCAAAACCTTCCAATTGTACAGCTGACGTGAGATCCTCCCACCTCTCCACCAAAATAAGATCAACCCATTTGCAGAACTTGAAGATGAAGTTGTATCCAGCTCCAAACACCTTGCTCTGTTCCTTCCAATTCCATGTTTCGTAGACGCACGTACAGAATTCCTCACAACATGAGAAGCAGAACCCATCGTAGGAACAGAATCCACGTACTTTAGCCAATCTGCTGAAAGTGCTCGAGGATGCAAGTTGGACTCTAGCTGGTGTTGAAAGTTGCAACTAATCAGATAACTAGCATGAAGTGCAATATGGAAAACATGAACATAAATACTTCAAAGCTGAAAATAGTGGAAATGCAAAGATAAGATAAAGATTCTTCTTATATATATGTTTAGTTCTGCTCTTGATATGCATATTTTATCTTTTAACTTAGTGTACTTTTGCAGTCTAGAAACCTAAGATGATAAAAGTTTTACACCCTAAGGCCTTCAACAAATTTTTTTGCGCCGAGAAATAGGTTACCGTATTTCATTATATATCTACCTGGAATTGTGGTGTATGCATGTACGTGTTCTTATGAGTACAATTTTACACCCTTGAGCCTCAAAGTGCCAAAGGAAAATTTCAGATTATAAAAATTTACTAGACTTGGGTGGCAGGCATACCCCATTAGTTAGGTTTAACAAACAAGCTTTTTGTTTACTAATTTTTTTTCCTTCTAAATTTATCACCTGTTGACAAAAATGCACTTAGCACAAGTTCTATACTAATGAATCATATAATCAAATTCATTGTTTACATTTAGAACTTCAGACAATATCCAACAGACACAGGTCATTTTCCTCCTGTAAAAGCCAGTTAGAATGTACAGCCTGTTGCTATTGTTCCCCCCTATAAAACGAAGCTCAGACCATACACAGTACATCATGGTTTGCTTTATTGAATATCATCATCCCATTCTTGTTAATAAATACTTCTCCAAGTTGTCAAAGCAACCATGACAAATTTACTGAACATACCCCAAAGTTTTCTTCTCTGCGATAATTGACGTGGCTGGGCATTGTTAAACAAGGTTAACAAGTTCCTTGTTCAGAGAGAGCCAGATGATGAACTATCATGTGAACGTAAGATACTTTCTGACAATCATTTTCAAAAGGACAAGCTATTTCTTTAAGACGACAATATCTTTAGGGTTTAACACTTGGGCAGTAAAAATACTTAAATATACATCCACAATGTATATAAACTCAGATAGCAATCCTATAAGGAAATATTCTTACCTTGAGCAGAAAACTTCTCAATGAAGCAACGTCAGACACTCCAAGAACGCTTTTATGCCAAAGTTCAGAATAATGAGGATCTAACCATGGGCCCAACAGAAGCCCCTGTAGACGATCTTCAGTGCAAATAATATGGCACATGACATCAATAAGATGACTGTTCCTGTTCTTTCTAGACTGAATACCTAAAGCCTCGCTTGTAAAATTTTCGACAGCAGGACCATTGTCATTTATAATGAATAAGCAGTCCCTTTCCTCTTCAAGACCTTGGCAAGTGAAGCACCACCCACATTTTTCTTTCCTATTGTTTGCAATTAAACTATGAATATTGGGCCAGCGTAAATAAGAAAATTTACTTGATATAATCTTCAGCTGCCCGGTAATAACCTCTTCTTCTGATCTTATGATTTTCTCAGATGTCTTATCCGATGATTTACGCATTAACTCTTCAACAACTGATGACGCTGTCCAAGCAAATTCATAAAAGTTAACATAATTTTCCCCACAATGACCTTCAAGCATAATTCCGCTAGGTTTTGTGATGGATGGTGCATGGCCATGATTTGCAGAAATGAGATTCATTCTTTGTTTGACTTCTAAGGTAGTAGGTGTTAGAAAATGGTTTCCAGCATTCAGAACCTTTGGTGGAATTTCGGAATCATATGATGATATCCCAATGCCTCTTTTTGAACATTCCTGCCCATTTTCCTTAATATCAGTGTTAAATGCAGCCTGGGAGACTTCGGCTGATCCTTCAGAACTTGCCAATCGGTTTTCCATCTTTGCCCCCTGGTTATCAGTCTCCAACATCATATTGACATGCTCTGGAACCTCAGGTTCTATGCTATTAGGGTAAGTAGAGAAAATGGAGTTTTCTTCCGATTTTCTCTCAGTAACAACATCCTTGATATGCACTTCTGAAGGTTTAGGAAGCATATGAGACAGCAGCCCTTTTATAGGAAAAGGTGATTGTATGGAGAAGGACCGAGCATCCAAATCAGTTTTTGACCCATCAACTCCATGACTGACATTCCAATGCTTACTAATAGCAGTTATTATTGGGTCATATACAAATGGCGATGACTCCAGTGCTTCTATAAGGGTGGGCAAATCATTTTTACGGTAGTACGAAAACGAGTATTCATCATTGCATAACTCTGACCTGCAAGTACGGTTACGCAAAAGTTAGCATACATTTAAAGCAATCATGCAGTTACAATGTCAAAAAAAAAAAAAACTCAAAATACTAGTAAATTATAAGACTAAAAGATAACCACAAAGTAAAAAGGAATTGCACGGCTAGTAATAACAGGCTAATCATCACAACAGAATCACAAGGCCAATAATAACAAGATAATTACAAAGTTTGAACTTCATGTGAAACGTGGAAGAGGTAAGTCGGTTATTGTGGTTTCCAGAATTAGAACTTTTAATGCACGCATATAAATCAAGGGAAGAATTATCACATTTAAGAACAATCTAACTCGCAGTTTAAAGTTGCAGCAGCTCAAAACTAAATGAACAACAATGTAAATGGTTAAGAGATCAATAAATGACTGAAGTTACATTACTAAATTTTGCAAGCAGTGAACTATGTGGCTAGTTTTTAGGTTGACTATGCATTTAGCTACTGAGAATCCACCATTCAAAAGCAATGTTTTTAACCAGCTGATATATTGATGTATACAGTCACAATCTTGGGCTCAATATTTAAAAAGATTCAATTGGGTACCAAGAAGTTTTACCTTAGTGAGATAATGAATAAGCCAGCATCAAGACAAACCACTAGAAGAAAACAAAACAGAAAAATATGCCCATAACAGACCCTAAACTGCCTTAAAAACCCATAATAAAACAAAATAACAAATTTAAGTCTAATGTGCAAACAAACATAAAATAGATTGGTAAATTAGTATATAATGCATTGACAAATTAGAAATGACATAACAAAATCATAGTTTACTACTAAATGGAAACAACCTAGAAGTCTCCCATATCATCATTGCTAACAGGACTTTTAGGAGAAATAATCAACAAATTTGATCCCCTTATCATCCTCCTCACTTTTCATTCTTTGTTAGCATCCACTTGCAATGATGTCTTCTCCTTCCCTTATGTGTAAGGAAGGAAAAAAGTGCATAAAACATTATACTACAACAAAATAGCCCAAATAGCTTAGGCTAGTAAAGAAAAAGCTTAGCCCTGAGGTGTAAATCTCAATAACTCGAGGCGTAAGCCTTGAAAAATGGCAACCGAGGCATAAGCGTTGAGGTGTTTAATGAAAGACTCAAATAGAAAATGCATGGGTCAATAAAGACTTAAATACGTTCTAATTTTTGTTTAATACACTTGTGCCCCATCTAACTACCCTCCAAACATCAAGTCCATTTGTAAATTCAAAATTATGTGCATAAGAAGGGTCTCTAGCTAAATACGTTTCAAGACTTCTCTTTACAATTTTCTTCCTCTTTGTTTGACTAACATTAAATCTCAGCTTGTAAATATATAAAATTGATGCCCTAATAATTAATAATCCTTAATTAGAATAAAAATACCCAATGTTTAAAAAGGTGTAATCGGGTATACTAAGGTATATTCTTTCATGAGACAAGGAGTAAGTATAACGACTTGACCTCTGTGCCCAAGTTTGGCACTGAGATTCAACTTGAGTCATTCTTAAGAGACAAGTCAAGGAAATCCTGTAGAACGCGACAAAAAGCCTTGAGGGGTAGGATGTGTTTAAACTCTCCCATAGCAAATAGTACGTCAATTAACAGATTGGGCGCAGACACCAGATCGTTACAGTAAGCCTCAGTGTTTTGAGGCGTAAGCCTCACAATAAACTAAACAAATGTCAAAATATTGTTAAAATGCAAGCAAAAGAATATTCTTACCAAGAAACAACTTTTTAATGTTTTATTAAGTAGTGGGCTATTCTCAAAAATGGGTCGATAAGAGTGCAGAATAAATTCCTTTTGGATATTTTCATGGTTAAAAAATCCAACTAAAACGCCTCAAGGCTTGTCTCAAAGTGAGGCATGCAGAAAAAAGCCCAAAGCGCTAATTGTGGTAGTTTTTTAATGTAATACCAATTGGTATTGAAGGTAAATTATGGGAACAACATAAGTAGTTCGGTACAAGCTTAGCATAAACCTAAAAAGGCTCCCAATTATAAGAGTGATGTGCTCTTGGTTGAACAAATCAAAAGGGGATAGATCAAAAGAAACATAGCTTTTTGCAATTATTAGGATCTAAAAGCTTTAAATATCCCGGTAGATCTAA